GAGCTGCCTATCAATCAAGAGCACGACATACTCTGGAGCCATATCACAACAGTACCACATCAACAAAACAATATCTACTATGAAAGAAGCAACAGCCACCCTGATAAAAGGTAGTCTAAAAACAGTCCAGGATAAATGAGCAGTTGGGCAGAATAAATAAAGAGCTTGATGCCAAGAGACTAAGTCAAGCTTTCTAAGTGTAGTGTTGAGGAGGTCCCCAGATGCCAGCCTAGGAGTTGGATTTATTGAATTCCCCTTCACATGACCTTGACAACTAATAGACTGCTGGTGCTAAAAGGAAAAAGAGAGAGAGAGAGAGAGAGAGAGAGAGAGAGAGAGAGAGAGAGAGACTAACTCAAGTGGCCTCTAGTTAGCCCATCCTAAAGATGCAGACCAGGCTACCAGTGAGCCACCCTCAATTAGAACTAAGGGACAGGTGACTTCCAACTTTGTGTGTATGTGTGTGTGTGTGTGTGTGTGTGTGTGGTACTAGGGATTGAACTCAGGACCTTGCGTTTGCCAAGCAAGCGCTTATTCTTCTGAGCTATCTCCCCAGCGACGTCCATCGTTTGCAAGGACAGGATGACATCCCCTCATGCTGATGTGAGAGTCTGGTGCGGCGTTTAGAGCCAGAGCCTGGGGCTGACCTGGCTCACCTGCCATCCATGCCTAGCCCATTCAAGCTGAGCCATGTCCAGGGATGAGATGATTTTTAACCCTACTATGAGCAAGAAGAAAGAAGCAGCAGCATCTCTTTATTTAGAAGAGGAAAGAGGAAGGGGATGCCCTGATAGAAGTAACACAGCCCTCACAAACAAAAGAAGTAGGACCAGAACCAACTGAGGACAAAGATGTGGAAGCCAGTGAAGATGACAATAGGAAGAAATATGCTTCTGATAATCTAGATGACTTGAATTTCTCGGGGTTTTGTTTGTTGGTTGGTTGGTTTTGAGATACGGTCTCACTAGGTAGTACAGGTTGACCTTGAACTCACTTATGTATCCCAGCCTGGCCTTGAACTCATAGTAGTCTTCCTATGTCAGCCTCCAAAGTGCTAGGATTTACAGGCATGCGTCACTGCACACTTTGAATTTCTTTAATCAAAAAATGAAAACATAAATATTTTCTTGTGCCAACTTTACAGATATCTGAGT